CGACCTCAAACTCCATGCGTACCTCGGCCTCGGCCGCGTCCCCGCCTCCCTCTTTCTGTGCCTCTTCCAGAAGATCCTCCACTCTTCCCACCGTCCAGTCCGTTCTCCTGGCCCCGGACTGAAAGACAGAAGAACACAGAGACAATTTCAAGACTCATCCTGCTGCTGGAGGACGCAAGACCAGACCTCAACGCCGGAGCGCGGCGGCTGTAAGCGCTCCCGTAACTTTATTTAAGCCGCCGGAATTGAGGATATCACCCAGGGAATCGACTCGGGGGAGCACCAAACACATCGCCACAGGGGGATGGTTCTCCTCAAAGATACAGCTGCCCAAGAAGCTTTACTGGCAGCTTTCGTGCAGCACGGGGTGCCCGCGTGTGCACCGTGGCAGTGATGGGTGGTAGCAAAGGGCATGTCCATACACTCTCTTCCACGGCTGGCACCTCGCCCCCGCCGACGTCGTCTGTTGAAATCCCGATCCCTCTCCCGGTTTTCTTTGCTCTCTTCACTGGGTTCTGCCTGTCCGCTCTCCTTCTGGCCCGAGACACCCTTCTTCTTCCCGACCATTTCCCAGGAATGCTGAAGGTTGGCAGAGAGGAAAGAAGTTAATCGCCGTTCGATCGACGCCAGACGCAAACACACACGTATTTAAACATACTACAGAGAATACAACAAGGGTCTCCAAAAAAATGCTTTCCAGCTCAATTTCTTTTTTTCTTTTAGAAGAGTCTGTCAGCCTACACATAGTATAGCTTTTTCCTTCAAGGAAAAGCTTTCTTACAGCTGACTGGCATGCAGTTTGAGGCAGCAGGAGATGAGTTATTCTATTTCTGCAAAGATCTACTAAACCCCTTAAATCGAGCGGGCATAATACTGGTTTGGGAGCTCTTGGAAAAACGTTCCACAGTGCTCTGCAGTCGACATGTCAGGGTAAGCTCTTCCCTCAGATGCAAAGCGATTCAACAAAACTCAGCAGCTCACAGGGACAGGAGTATCACCCAATTTATGCAACAGGCAAGTTCGAGTCATCCCAAGTTCAACTGTCAGAAGTTAAGCACGCCTCCAACCCGCTGCTGTGAGCCTGCATCGGTTTTCTGACAGTCTGCAGCGTTTTCATACTCTTAAACTGACTGTTAGAACAATTAAAAATAGTCACAAGCCATTGACAAACACCTGAAGACACAACTGGCAGACAACAAAACAGCTGGCTTTGGGTGGCAACATGCAAGGACAGCGACAAAAAAACCCACAGAGGCACAAACTGCCTTCAAATCCAAGGCTTCTGAAGTCTCTCTCCGTAAGGATCTGGCTCAAAAGGAAATTTAGAAAAATATTTACTTTGAATAGTGTGATTTTAAGCCAAATCTACCACAATGCTAAGATCACACCAGCTCCTTTGCTGTTGGAATTCAATACAGCACGTTATGAATAACCAGCTCAGCGGGTGAGCTGTCTTCATCAGCACCTGAATATCTCCGTAATTAGCAAGTTTCTTTCTTATCAGAAAATCTCCTTTTTGTGATTCCTGGTACAAGCTGAATTCAGGCCACCAGCAGCTCCCAGACCTCTGACCAACCACGCTCCGTGCCACGGGTACCAGCCCGCAGGCCCCCCATGGCACTGCAGCCTGCAGAAGTGGCACTCGAGGGCTTTGCTGTGCCAACTCGGCTCCTGCCTCCGCAAATCTTCCGCAGCGGCCGTGCCATGCCCTGCCAGCCTCACGCTGCCGGGCGTTTCGGCTGCTTGAATAAAACAGAGGTACCGCTACGTAACACGGTTTGCCCCACACCAGTCTGGATGTGCTTTCCATGAGCAACGTGTTTATCTGGGAAATGCAACTGCTGCAAGAGCAGGGGCTCGTTGTTTAACTGGAAGACACTGGGAATACAAGGGATATGGAGGAAAATACAGTCACGGCAGAGCTCCGCTTCAGCAACGCACATCCACATCATCCTCCTTTCTAAAATAATTTCCCAAAACAGCTACTTTGATCAGCTGTCAATGGAAAGGGCTCTCTAAAGGTAAGGAAAAACCCTTATGTGCTGTACTGAGCCTGGTCGGTGCCACAGCTGGCACAGCACCTGGCACGGGGAGCAACTACGTCACACAGGATATCGTCTGTGGTGTCCAGCTCATCCATCTATTCTCAGGGCAAATAATGAGGAAAAAAACAGCTAATACATAATATTCTGAAGTGATATTTAGAGCCTCGACTCTACAGAGCTGGATCAGCTTCAGACAAACCAGGGTGCTGGGAGGACACGTTTGGTCAGCAGCAGTTTGGAGGGATCTGATGTTTGTTGGCTTTTTACTGGGCTGTAACAGAACTTACGCCCCTGCTGTCTTTGTCACGACATGAACGACATCCTGCACACCAGCGGAACCAGTTAGTTCCTCCTAGCTTGTTCCCAGAGCCGACTTTGGCTCTGCCTGAGCCAGGCATCTGTGTGAGCGACAGCGGTTGAGCCCAACTCCACAGAAAACAAGCAGCAGAGACCCTCAAAACGCTGGCATGGGCCCTGGCACACGAGCCATGCATCGCCGAGAGGCGAGAGCTGAGGGCCAGAGACACAAAGCTGCACCACTGCAGCAGAAAGGAACCACAGCTGGCACATTCTGGCCTTGCCACACAGCCCTCTGAGCCCCCGTGGGAAGAGATAAGCTACTTCACTCTCACGGCAGCGTGAAAGCGTACGTGGATGCCCCCATGCTGTTGTCAAAGCGCGTGGATCCAAGAGGAATGGGAAGTAAATGACTTATTGCCTTTTCCCCTCTATTCCTGCGGGCCCACTCGTACTCTGTGCCAGCCTACGGAGAGCAGCGTTCAGAAGCCAGGGCACCATCACACTCCACATGCTGTTTGCTGGTCGTTTCGGCTCTCGTTATCTAGACATTACTGCATGTCCTGTCTCCGAACACGCAGTCACACCGAGCTAGGCCTCACCAGATGTACAGGACCCAATCCTACCGTGTCCGGATTGCCCTCCAGCAGCACGTTGATGGCTCTGTTAACATCTCCGTTGCAGTCATGCAGAGCAATCACACACTCGTCCTGGTTCTTGCCCGTGATGTCGATCAGCTGCGGAGAAGACAACACCGTGGTCAGCATGTTCCAAAGCAAGAAGGCACCAAAACCTCTACGGATCTCTTAGGAGGCAAGCGAGTTAAATCCCGAACCAGAAAGCCTACAAAGAAATGTCAGGGTTTGGGAGTCTCCCCAGCTTAATTATGTCCCCTCCATGAGGAGTAACTGAGTGGGAATTTCTGAGTTACCCTTGTTTCACCGCAACCCAACCGACAACCTCTTTTTCTCAGGATAACACCGTTCCCCGTGTGCTGGGGAACAAGCCCGTCCAAAGAAATTCAGGGGGCAGCCAGACGTGTCTCTCCCACCCCCCCCAGCATCACAATGCTCCCAACATCCATCTTGCCTTCCCGTCAGGGTTCACCCTCACTTTCCGCACTCACCTGTTTCACCTTCTCCTCAAAGTCAGCGTCGTTGTGGTCTGAAATCATCTGTGCAAGTCGAATCTGTTCCGCGGTGGCCTGAAGAGATGGAACGCAGGGAGAGAACGAGGAGGTTAGAGTGGTGCAATTCCAACAAACCTTCCACACCGCTTCCCTGAGATCTCTGGAAAGGAATCACTATGATGAAGAGGAGGCACAAACAAGGGGCAGGAAGAGGAAAGCTTCAAAGTCAGACAGAAGAGGAACAAGCTGACGACTGGCCGAGAGAGTTGGGGTTGTTCAGCCTGGAGAAGAGAAGGCTCTGGGGAGACCTTCCAGTATTTAAAGGTGGCCTAAAGGAAAGCTGGAGAGGGACTTTTCACAAGGGTGTGTAGTGATGGGACACACGGAAATGGCTTTAAACTGAAAGAGGGGAGATTTAGATCAGATCTAAGGAAGAAATTCTTCCCTCTGAGGGTGCTGAGGCACTGGACCAGGTTGCCCAGAGAAGTTGTAGCTGCCCCATCCCTGGCAGTGTTCCAGGCCAGGTTGGATGAGGTTTTGAGCAACCTGGTGCAGTGGAGGGTGTCCCTGCCCATGGCAGGGGGGTGGACCTGGATGATCCTGAAGGTCCCTTCGAACCCAAACCATTCTGTGATTCTATGATAAGCGAGGGGGGTCCGGAAGAAAAGGACGTACTTCTGGACGGCCTCACGGCACCGGGTGATAACTACCTAAGCCACGTCCATTTTGAGGCAGACCTCACCACCACCAGCACATCACGACCCACTGCAGGTGGCTTCCCAGCCACTTGCAGTCACGAAAGCAACCAGGGAATGGTCAGAGGGAAGTAAAACCAAATCTCAGCCTCGGCTCCTGCTCAGAGATGCCGACACGGAAATCCCACCACCAGTGGCTGCCCGGGGGACCCGGCTCTCTCCCCCGCCCCCC